TGGGCTGATAAATTTGTGTTATCAACCCCCTGCTGGCTCCCTTGCCTGCCACTTTGCAGGCAGCATGAAGAACCAAGGAGAGGGAAACTGAAAAGCTCAGTATCCTCAACAGATGCATGCACTTCACACCCCACCACCCCTTTGCCTCAGTGCTAGCCCAGGGCTGGGGTCTGGCAACACTCCTGCACCTTGAGCTGCAAGGGGGTGAAAGCCTGGGACAGTGCAGGGAAGGTGGGGTTTTAAACCCCTCCCTAATCAGAGGTCCTGCAGGGACCTGGCCACACCCTCCGCCTCAGCTGAGCACTGAAAAAGGGACGGGAGGGCTGCTCTAGCCTCCCCTAGCTTCCAACCTGAGCCATTGCAGGCATGTGCCTGCATTTCTGGGATGTCTCTTCAATTACAAACTGGTTTAGCCTAGCCAGGTTAGACTGACCTGCAAAGATTGAATCAATTCAGGGTCAGGCTTTTTGAATGTCTGTCCCTAGCCTCAGCTACTACATTCCCTGCTCCCTTCCCCATCTGCTGTGTGCCACTCAGAGGCTGCCCATGTCACCTGTGGTATACAAGTTGCAGGTTGGCTATACCTATGTTATATGCTTAATTTTATAGATATGAGAAGCCCCACTAAATCTCTACTATATCAGGAATGCATACAATTGGCCAGTTGTATCACCTGTTCCAAGTCTCTGCAGGATCAAGGCTCTTAGGTTACTTGGGAACTACTGTGTGTTTCAAGATATGTTTTTCTTTTCCACTAACATCTCAAAAACTGCAAAAAAGAAAAAAAAGATATCTTAACACATTCTAAACTGACAACTCTTTTGCAGTGATTTTTTAAAAGAGTGAAGGACAGGCAATTTTCTCTCTCAATGACACTAGGTTCAGTCTAGTGTAACTCTACTCAGCTAATGGATTTACACTGACTGGATTTACACCAGTGAACTGAGAATAGAATTTGGCCAAACATTTCATGAAAGATATGTCTGTACCCGTCAATCATGAATGGACATCTGATTTGGGCTATGGAGGCTGTGTGCATTCCAGATGTATTTAAATACCAAATAAATCTTGCAGATGTTTCTTACAAACCATGAAGCACTGCTGTCTTTACCCAGCCTCATACTACTCTAGTAGATATTTTATTTCTTTTCCTGTTACTACCATTACTAAGAACTTATTTTTCTAGATTCCATCCCCTACGCAGGACTTGTGCCAAACCAGGCTGCAAAGAAACAGTCTAGATGCATCTGTCTATGTTCTGATGCAAACTGAACAGAGAAAAGGAGACCCAGCCACATAAATGCTACTCCATCAATCTGTTGCATCTCATCATTTTCCTGTCTTTTCCCACAGTCCAATTTTAGAAAAAGTATTTTTAGTCTGTTAAAATTTGATCTTTTTTCCTTGTTCAGAATATAAAGGTTGGTAACAGCTGAGGCTTGCTAATTTGTTCCTAATTTTGATGTCCAAAGAGAAAAGTGGAAGTGCATATTTCTTTTTTTCCTTTCTTTTCTCTTTTTGTAAAACTGTTCTGCAGCAAACTTCTATCTTTAACTATCAAAAGCTGAAAAAATGTTACGTCGACTTAGCTATCAGCCTCACATTCCAAGACCTTCCAGCTAAGCATGTTTTGAGATGGTCAGAATATCCTTTTTTGGAGCAGTAAAATATTGTGTAAAAAGTCCTAATATCATTCCTAATATACACTTAAAAATGGAAGCAGGTTACCCCCAATTCAAATAAAGCCTTTTGCCTATAAAATTAAATTAATCTACAACCTGGTGGCCTTTTACGACCAGGTCACTAAATCATTGGATGCAGGGGTGGCAGTAGATATAGTTTTCCTAGACTTCAGGAAGGCTTTTGATACTGTCTCTCACCCCATTCTCATTAGGAAGCTGGGGGACTGTGGCGTAGACACCCATACAGTCCAATGGGTCACCAACTGGTTAGAGAGTCGCACCCAGAGGGTGGTAGTGGATGGGTCCTTCTCGACCTGGAAGGACGTGGGAAGTGGGGTCCCACAGGGCTCGGTCCTTGGGCCTGCACTGTTCAATATCTTCATCAGTGATTTGGATGAGGGGGTGCAAAGCACCCTGTTCAAGTTTGCTGATGACACTAAGATGTGGGGGGATGTGGGCACAATAGAGGGGAGCAACAGGCTACAGTTGGACCTAGACAGGTTACAAGGATGGGCGGAGGAGAACAGGATGGGGTTTAACACAGACAAGTGTAAGGTGATGCACCTGGGGAGGAACAATCGGCACCATACATACAGGCTGGGGAACTCCCCTCTTGTCAGCACGGAGGTGGAAAAGGATCTGGGAGTCATTATTGACTCCAAGATGAACATGAGTCGGCAATGTGGGGAGGCGGCTAGGAAGGCCAACTGCACCTTGTCGTGCATCCACAGATGCATCTCGAGCAGGTCCAAGGAGGTGATCCTCCCCCTCTATGCGGCACTGGTCAGGCCGCAGCTGGAGTACTGCGTCCAGTTCTGGGCGCCGCACTTTAAGAGGGATGTGGACAGCATGGAGAGGGTCCAGAGGAGGGCCACTCGTATGATCAAGGGACAGCAGGGTAGGTCCTATGAGGAAAGGTTGCGGGACCTGAACCTGTTCAGCCTTCAAAAGAGAAGGCTGAGGGGGGATCTTGTGGCCTGTTATAAACTGGTTAGGGGGGATCAGCAGGCGCTGGGGGAGTCCCTGTTCCCCTGAGCGCCGCAAGGAGTGACCAGGAACAAAGGTCACAAGCTGGCGGAGGGAAGGTTTAAGTTGGACATCAGGAGGCGCTACTTCACGGTCAGGGCGGCTAGGGTCTGGAACCAGCTTCCAAGTGAGGTGGTGCAGGCTCCCACCCTGGGGGGTTTTAAGAGGAGGTTGGATGACCACCTTACTGGGGTCGTTTGACCCCAGTACTCTTTCCTGCCATGGCAGGGGGTCAGACTAGATGATCTGCTCAGGTCCCTTCCAACCCTAGAAACTATGAAACTATATGTCGGCAGTTGTTGGTGGACTGTTAAACTGGCAACAGTACACACTGTATTCTGAAAAGTTTAATGAAGACTTATATTATCATTATTGGCAGAACTGTTATTTGATGCTGCATATTGCATAACCTCTGAACACACCCTTATTTTCGGTCAGTCATGTGAACCATGATGAATGCAACTTCAGTTTCTGGAGTTCTTGCCTTTGTCTCTATCCCACTGTGTAGGCCTCTGTGGCAGTCCTTTTTTTTTCTACTGATCAAGGTAGGCATCCACAGTGTGCCAGGTACTTTCCAAACACAGAAGAGAGACATAGTATGAACCAAAACTTGTTAGAAAAGGTTTAAATCTTTAACACTTTCTTCTCTTAACTAATACAGAAATGGTAAAGTTACAAAAGTAAAAAACAAAACCACTTGCCAAATATTGTTTTTCCCTTCTTTTAAATCCCTTTGTGAATTCACATCTTCAAGCAGTCTCTGACTTTATTATCATCAAGTGTTCTCAAACCTGCCCTATTCCAGCCAAAGTCAATGGGGAACAAAAGCATGAACCTAAGCTGTACCCCAAAGCCTTGTGTTTGTCATATCTATCATGGATTTTAAACTCATGGGTGATGGAAACATGCCTTAATCCATACCTGTAAATGTGCTATATCATATAAAATGATATAATACCAAATAACTAATAATTCTTTGTTTCACAGACCAAACAGAAAGCCTAAAGGAGGCATCTCAACCAAATACTAATAAAATCTTGGCAGCAGTGTAACTTGGAGGCTCAAATTTATATATCTTCAGGTATTGTGAAATATTCCAGGTATAGTTACTATTATTATTTCCCTTTAAAACAAGATAAATAGTAATCTTGTAGCATAGAAATAGAAATTAAGATTCTCAGGATAACATCATCATCATAAGATTTTTAAATCCATAAACCAATTGCCTCTATACTAAGTGGTGTGGAAAGAAATCTGGGCCGTTATTCCTGAAAATAAACGCAAACTATTCTTTCACTCACAATGCCTGCAGCTTTGCTACTCAGCTGAAAGAGAGAGAGAGAGAGAGAGAGATTTTCTAGGATTCTTCCATCAAACCATCTTTGTGTTCCTAATATCAAAATAAAATAATGGACCAATGGCTTACAATGGATGATTCAACTTCACTGTCTACCCAGACAACTTGTCTTTCTCCATCATTCTGACAATATTTTAAATGACAGTTATATTATTGAAGTGATAGTTGGCAAGTTAGAAAACTTTTCAATATAACATCTCACAAGGTCCTCATGAAATAATGGTTTATTCTGATATATAAAAGTAATTAAGTTGTTAATTTACCTAGTCCAGAGGTGTCAAAGATATTGCCTGTTGCCTGGATACAACCTACAGAGCCCCATCATTTGGCTCCCAGTGCCAACTGTGGGTTTGAACTGACCTATGTGGTACATGCTGGACCAGCTTCACACAGGCCACACAATGCTAGCTCCAGGATCTTCACTAAACAAGGTTCCCATCCCAGGCAGTCATAGGGCGCCCATTCTGGGCAGGCCAGAATCCATGCCCCTGCCCACCTTGCTGGAACCTGCATGCAGCATGGGTCCTGGACTGGCTGGAGTAGATGCCACGTGCAGTGCATGTCCTGGACCAGTGATGGGGGTGTGCCATGGGTAACACAGATACCAGAGCAGGCACCACAAGTGCTGGATCTGGCATGTAGGACCAGGCGGCAGGGGTGGGGGGCAAGAGGGTCCATGGGCCTAATCCAGCAGGCTGGGCCAGATGAGTTCTACACCCATGACCTAGTAATAAAGTGCCATGTTTATTAAATCTCTCTGTACCATAGGCCCTTAACTCCCCCACCACATCACATGGCCATCAGAGCAAGAACAAAGCTTAACCTGTCATAATGATGGTGTACCAAACAATAATGATGGTGTATCAAACACATCCTACTCCCTATTTTTTCTTTCTAAATTAAATAAGACAGGGGAAGCTCTTGGCTCCCCTTACTTTGGTTAATGTTCTCAATGAGGTCACATGTATCTTTGCCTTAGTTAGGGCTGAGAGACTAGGAACCTAAAAGAAAAAAAATGTAAACATTCAGCTATATATGCAATACCTAATTTTGATCTTTATTATATTTGGACATCTGTGGGAAACCCATATCCAAATCAGACAGAAAAGAACCCTGTACTACATTTGTGCTATTGCATTCAGTTTCAAAGAGGCAGAGCAAAGTGTTCGGACTGATGGGTATAGCAAACCACACATCAAATAATTCAGAAACAGCATGACAGAATATGTGGGGCTAAAGAGGGGCCAATACATACGGTATTTTAAGGGCCAATACTGTTCTCACATAATTTGAAGGAAAGTAGACTGATTTAAAACACTAATTTTAATTATGATTTAAATCAACAAGTAGGAAATCTTGGTTAAAATCATCAGTTTTAATTTTGTTTTGCATTTGTACTTTTTAGTTACATTCCTAAGCAAAGGTTGATTTATGTTGCTTGGTAACAATTAAAGCCTATTAAAATTACCTTTATACTATACAGGTTTCCATCAATTTATGCTGTACATGTGTTCCCAGAGAATGGTGCATAACTTGAATCTGCATAAAGCGAACCCACTTTACAATGTAACAAATAGGGTTCCTATGGCAGTGAGGGAGGGATGAAGTGAGACTGGCACTAGGAAAGGGGTGGGGAGAGAGGGTCCGGTCCCAGGGCTGCACAAGGCAGCAAAGCAGAGGGAACAGAGAGGCAGTCACCCCAGCCCCAGCTGCAGCAGCCCCGGGAGCATCCAGCACCAGTTGCCTGCAGCTGCTGGGCTGCACCATATTCCGCCTATCCCTACTCACCTCTGCTCCTGGGCTGCACTGTGCCCTGGTGCCGGCAACTGGTGTTGGCTGCTCCTGGAGCCACTGCAACCGGAGGCTGGGGTGAGTGGGGCCATGGCCCTTTCCCCTTCCTTCTCCCCCCAGACTTACCTGCTTAGGCTGGGGGAGGGGAATCTATGCTGATCGCATAAGAGTGAATTTACCTCACATATAAAGAATTATGGATCTAAATATGCCCATCGCATCAGAGCGAATTTGCATATAAAAAACCTGCATAAATCAAGGGAAATCTGTACTACCTTTTGCTAACCAGGAGAGCAAACAATAGCCCTGCACACTTATTTAAGCCAGGGGTCAGCAATCTATGGCCCATGGGACAGACTGGGCCTGCAAAGTCACTGCATCAGGCCCATGGGACCACTGTGAAAGTCAGCAGCTTTCAGTGGCAAGGAGCTTCGCCCATGCTGTGCCACAGTTGTGTGGCAGAGAGAAGCAGCCGTGGTGGTGGCGACAGCAGCCAGGTCCTAGCACTAGCTAGCTCACTTCATACCTGAGCTGGGTGGGTTATTACAGCCTGCCACCAGAAAACATTGCTGACTGATGATTGAAGTGATTATATAGTTTAAACATTTTATTCAAATCATTAATTTTTACATTACAAAATAGTGAGTGACACATTTCTCATAGGATTATTTCTTTTACAGGCAGCCCTTGGTTCCTGACAACCATGTCTTAAGTCGAAACGTTGCAACTCAGAACCGATTTTCCCATAGCCAACAATGTTATAAATGGGTGATTGGTTCCTGAACCAAGACCTGGTACCCTATTTTCACCAAAAATTACCCAGAATTTTGTACTCAATCAATTATGGATGAGTAATATCACTACATTAATGTATTTATATTGTAAATAGCAATCATATTGATTTGGAAGGACTTCTTTGAGGTGACTTCACTGGACTTTTTGAAGGGGTCTTGGCTGCAGGTTTTTCTGGAATCTTGTCTGCTTTCTTAAAGAAAGTGTCCAAGGAAGTTTGGATAAATATTCTCCAGGGAGATGGGTGATGCAGCAAACTTGTTCGCTGGCGGGGTGTCACATCGGATCAAGTTTTGTAAAGTCAAAAGTGAAAGTTGAAACAGGGTTTCGATTTATAAACATTATATGTGTGAAACGTTGTAACTCAAAAAGTTGAAAGTAGAGGATTGCCTGTACTTGTAATCTGTGTCAAACTATTTAGATGGAAACAGAAATTCAATACAAATAAACATTTAAAAATGAATTAAATAAAATGACTTGAAGTAAACTGTATTCATATAGAAAATACATTTTCTGAACGTGATTTAAAATGAAGTGATATATTAAACAAAGTAAGTATTATTAGTACTAGCCAACTGCCTGTCAAGACTGATGGGGGTGTGAGTGGGCAGGGATGGATCCCCATGTCCCCCCTACCCCTGTCTGGGCCTGGTCTCCCTTCCCCACTGTGGCAGCGTGGGGAAGGGAAGCAGGCCTGGGGCCAATGCAGGGGCAATGGGGGAGAACCGAGCCCGAGGCTGGGGAGAAGCCGGCCCACCACGGCAGTGCGGGGGGGTGGTGCAGAAAACAGCAGGCCCAGCCTGACATGGGGGAGGAGTAAGCCTGGGCCCAAGGAGGGGAGGCCTGTTCCTTCCTTCCCCCAACCACTGCTGTGTTGGGCCAGGCCTGCTGCTCCCCCCCATACTGCTGCAGCGGGCCAGCTCCTGCCCCTCCTTGGACCCACTTTTCACCGCCACACGTCAGGCCCGGGCCCACTCCTCCCCTCCCCGCACTGCTGCCATGTTGGCCTAGGCCCACTCTTTTCTCCCCCACTGCAGCACACCAGCTCCTCCCTCCACCACCACCACATCGGCCCTGCAGGTGGTGATGATGGAAGGGGGGAGGGGCAGGCTCAGGCCAGCGCCAGTGGCCTCACCCACCCCACTCCGTGGTGTCCCAACCCTGCTCCTCCTCCCCCCACACCACCACCTCCACCTCCAAGGAGAAGGGGTGGGGGGGACAAGGGCCAACCCAGTTCCCCGCCACCCGGCACGACGGGTCCAACCCTGTTCCCCTCCCGGCATGGCAGAGCCAACCACGTTCCCCCTACTGCACACCGCCACTGCCTCCAAGGAGCAGGGTGGTGGGGGGAAGCTTGTCCTGCCATACCCTCCACCCCCCTTGCCCCCATGCCCCATCCCTTCTGTCCCTGCCATCATGGTGGCACTCCACGGCGCTGCCACCACCACTGTCTCCTATCCAGAATGCTCTTGGAATGCTCTGATTGGCTGCTGAGACAACCAGCCAGAGTGCAAATAAACTGTTATAGGCAGACAGACAGACTAAGGCTTTTGTATTTACAGAATTAGAAAAAGAAAAGAAAAAAAAACTCTCCTGCTTTCCAGTTCCTTCCAATCTATTTCTGAACGTTAATGCAATAGTAACTGAACTAGCAAATAAACTGAAATGAAGAAAATATTCTCTTTGCACCTGTAAAAGAAACTGCTACTATCCAAAGTTCATGTAGCAACTCAACAAATTCTGGTTCCAAGTGATTAGCCTGCGATTTCCACAGTGCTAGTGGTTTGATGATCTATAAAACTTAGTAGCAAACATATATTACTCAAGGGTTTTTTTTCTAATTAAGTTTAATTATTTTAACTGTTAAGTCTTGACACAGGCTGTCATAACTTCAATTAAATTAATTTAAAAAATGCATTTAATTTAAATTTTAAAAATTGGATTTATACCACAAAAACTAGATTGAATTTTAGAAATATGTTTTTCCTTCCCTTTTAAAACAAAATCTCCACTGATTTAGAGTAAGATCAAGATTAGGCCTCTGTTGAATGAGCAGGGGGAGAGGAAACAAATACCAAAACAGATGAATGGAAAAGTAACAAGCTACAAAAAAAATGTAATCAGGCATTACAATGCAGAGAGGCAACTCATGCATGTCATAAAACGAACAATTCACCAATTACCTCTGGTCATTTTTAGACTGGCTTTTCTCTATGTAAATCCTGACTAGACGAAAGAATAATAGCATGACCTCAAACTGGAGGCATTGCCTTAAGGATATTGAGTTACCATGAAAGTCGGATCAAAAAATGAAAACCACCAAGGTTCAAACCTTATGGCCCAATCCTTCAACTTCTCTTCCAAATGAATGAATCACATGGAATCTGAGAAGGAAAGAAATAGTGGATGGATCTCACAGAAACTGAGAAGATAAGAGACCCTCCCATAAAATAGCGGACTGTGATATCTGCTGCTTCAGTCCTGTCATATCCTTAATGTACTGGGTAGCAAATTCTACCGGCAATTTGAAGGGATTCTTTATGGAGATATCTTCTGTACACAACAGATCCTATGGACTTCTTTTGTACCTCTTTAAATCCAATTCCACCTTGCACAGCACCATATTTACTCAAATATAAGACAACCCTCCTCCTCCCCAGCTTCTGCTTCCCTCTCCCCACCAGCTTCTGCTCCCTGCTTCCCACCCCCTTACCCTCATTCCATACCAGCAGTCTCCATCCCCATTCTAGCCTGGGACACTGAGCACGTCTCAAACTCAGCTGCTGTACAATCTGCATGCTGCTGCTACAAGCTGGGCTGAGGCCCTGCTTACTTCCCCAGGCTACAGCATGGACAGAACAAGTCAGTGTGGAGCAAGGGTAAGGAAGGAGAGGGGCAAGAAGGGGAGAAGAAGGAGGGACAAGATGGAGCAAAGGGGCTGCAGGGGGAAGATGGTGGAATGCAGAAGCAGTGGGGGACAGGGTAGGCAGCAGCTGCAGCTCCAGCTCCAACCCCAGGTAGAGGCTGGAGCTTGAGCCACAGCAGCCGCCTGCTCCTCCTCCCCACCTTGTACGTGATTCTAAGATGAAAGGCTACCCCTCTCTCCCCCACCCCTCCTTAAATGGGAAAAAACCCTCATCTTAGAATCAAGTAAATGTGGTAGTATTGGAACTGTTGCAGCACAGACAGGGCCCTTTATGATACTGGACAGGGAAAAAAAAGATTTGTCTTGGAAATTTAGCTGCTCTTTTCTAATTTATTACATGTGGCAGCAACTCTTAGTGTAACTGCTTTCATTATTTTTTATAAACATAGCCAAACTTGAAAATCACCTCCAATAGTCTTTACATTAATGCATGGAGGTTTCATAAATTTCATCAGAATAAGGTGAAAAATAGTGCTCCATCATATATCTGAAAAATGCAATTGAAAAAAAAAAACAACATTCTGAACTTATCAAAACACATGGTCTTTGATACTCAGAATGCTGTGTAACTGTGTTTATTTTGCTCTATTTTAATTTGCTCTTCAAATTGCCTTAAGTGAGTGCTCTACGAGAAAGGAGCTGTATAGACAGTGCCTGGTAAACTGCAATTGCTCATGGGTAACATTAAACATAAGAATCAAAATTTCAAATATTACGTGAAGATAAAGAAGTTCTGAATCCAAAAGATCTCAGACATGTTTGGGTATTTAAAGTAAGCCAAGAATATATAAAACACAGACACATTATCATGCTATCTGTTTGATAGTTGCTGCTGAATCTTTCTATCAGAACCACTTCCTGCTCTAAAAACCTTGCCAATGAAGGATTCATTGAATTCAACAAAACCCCAGGACATCTTAGGTAGAACTTTTGGCAGTACATGAGACATGTGCATGTTGTACATTTTTTTTTACCTTTTTCTCATGAGGAGCAAAACAGCTGAATGAACCACTGAATTTTAGCCCAAGATCAAAATGTTTGCTTCTGGGCCATATTTTTATTCTAAAAACTACAAATCACCTAATACATCTGTGCATTAATAAATGCATAAAACAAAAACATTTCGAAAGTTAATCTTAAATTATTTAAAATGTTCACAATAAAACTATTTTAAAGTGATATTTATAGATGTAATATATGCATGTAAAAATCAAGTCATTCAGATGAAAGCTATCAAAATCTCAATGCACAAGTAAAA